AATGTGGTATTCTTTTAGATGCATGAGTTGTATTTTGCAATTTTCTTTAGGATTTCAGAAAGTCCCTTCAAATCTTAGAATGCTCCAGATACAAGACTGATGTACATTTTTAATTTTTTTTTATGACTCACCAAAGGTGCTCATCGGTTGCTGATAAATGACATTCTCTGATTGCTTTTGCCTTTGATCATATGCACCTTTAAGTTCCTCTTGCAGCTCAGTAGGTAGTGCTGCAAAAACCTCTGGGTCCACCTAACAATGAGAAATAGTTCATTAGAGGTTTTTCTACTGGTGACAACAGTGTTTGATGTTTACTTTTTCTTGTTTACCCACATGAGAAAGGGATTTGCATTGTGTCAATTCTATTTAGATAGATAGATATAGCTAGATATAGAAATGCAAACAGTAGATATTACAATATTTTAAATCTATCTATATCTGTCAACAAGTGAAAAGCTTAAATTATTTTTCTTTCAATATTTACATTTTAAACACAATTTATTTTACAACTAATTTGCTTAATAACATTTATAATAAATCAACTCAATTTAAATAACATACTCAGAGGTGCCAAATCAACAATTGCTTTATTTTTGTAATATATTTAGTACACATTTGCTGAACATTGTGGGTGAAGTTGTGCCTTTAAGACAGACACACACACACACACACCTGTAATGGGAGCATGTGCAAAACAACTCCTTCCCAGGGAGAGGCACGCAGAAGCATTCCCTTCTCCACCCTTATCCTCAAAGACAAGTAGGATTGACATCTGGCTCCTCCTAGTTCTTGCACCCAGCAATTTTTTTAGGCTGGTGCTTTCCAAATGGAGCATCTTGGAAGCAGCCTTGCACCTCCTTGAGTGCAGAGGCTACAAATCTAGTTAGCTAGATGAGTTATGCTGGATTTGGAGGGGAGTGGGGTGGATAGGAGCCTTCCTTCTTCCCTACGCTAGCCCCCTTTGATTATACAGATTTTCACTTTTGGATGAATAATCTGTCATTCATCATCATCTTGACCAGGCCAGAACTTGAGTACAGATATACAGTATACGCCCGATTATCCAAATAGAAAGGAGGACTTGGATTTTATTTGGCTAATTGGGAGTTTGGATAATAGAGGGCAGAAGCAGCAGCGCAGCAAGACCTCTGCAACTCTGATGTCATGGACTTATCAAGGCTGGCTCCAGGCACCAGCAAAGGAAGCAGGTGCTTGGGGCGGCCAATGGAAAGGGGCGGCACGTCTGGGTCTTCATCGGCAAGTCGGTGGCGGGTCCCTCAGTCCCTCTCTCTTCCTCTTTGAGTTGTGGCCAAAGTGCCGCCAAAGAGGAAGAGAGGGAGCGAAGGATCCGCTGCCGAATTGCCGCAGAAGAATGAAGCAGTGCAATTGAGCTGCCGCTGATTGGCTTTAAATATATATATATATATTTTTTATTTTTTCCCCTCCGTTTCACCGCTTGGGGCGGCAAAAAAGCTGGAGCCGGCCCTGGGCCCCATTCACTTACTCCCATGACAGCAGGGCTGGAGAAGGCTCCTTGCACTGCCACTCCTGCCCTCTTGATTACAGCAGGCACAAGGTGTGTGTGTGGGGGGGGGTGGAAGGGGGTTGCACTCCGAATAGGGCAGAAAGGAGGCCCTTGGTCAGGATACTGCTTTACTCTGCCAGGACCCTGCCTTCCCTGCACCTTGGGCTAGCAGGGATAGGGTGTCACCGGTCCTGCATCAGTGCAAGGAGCTCTCTGCAGCTCTGCGGTCATAGGAGCGAGTGAGCAGGGCCATGGTGGGGGAGCTGCAGCAGGCTCTCTGTGTTGCCGCAGAAGCCATTCAGCAGCAGCGTGGCCTCCCGGCTGCTGGGGGTCTCCGGTCTATTATCTGAACCTCTGCATCTGTCCTCTGCATGGGACAAGGAAGGGATTCAGATAACACAGAGGTTCAGATAACAGTATTTCAGAAAATGAGGATTATACTGTAGTGTATTCTAGATTTTTTGGAACATTCGGATGAAGTTTCGTGAGCCAGTAGAAATACTATATGTGCTATTCTCTAATTTTGAATTGCTCAATGTTTTAAAAGTTTCAAATATTTACCTTCTTAAGTTATCAGTGGAAAAAAGTGAGTGAACTATTTATGCTCAGGGTGAAACATATACTATCCTCCATTATAAAAAAATTCTTGTAAACTTTTTGAAATCCTCTGAAAGCTAAAATGGGTGAGTGCAGAAAGTTAATTTGGCAGGGAGACGGACTTTACGAAGAATTGGCTTTGAGTTTTTCAGTGAAGACTGTTAGATTTTGGCAAAATTATGAGGCTTTCAAAAACAAGCTGTACATGAGGATTATGTGTTATTTGTAGGCTTAGAGGATTAGATTTTTATTGGTAAATGTAGGTAAACCAGTGATTTCTCTGTACACACATCAACTGATGAAAATATACTTCCAAAGATAACAAATGTACAGATAGGAAAAGTAAGGAAATGGTGCTTGAGAACTTATCAAAGTTTGATTTAAGCATATTAAGTGTGCATATTTTGACATGTGATGCTCACAATTTATTTTTTAACAATTATAAAGCTTTAACTTTTTGAATCTCAATGTCTACGGTCATTAACTAATTATTGTCTGACCTCTCTCCATAATTTCCCACAATTGTGAAAGTTTAAAAATGCTGAAAATACAAAATTTTGTGCAACCATGAACATTTAAAAATCGAAAAAATGCTTACAAATAAACCTTGATATAAATTATCCATCAGATTATAAAAAATAAAAAGAGAATTCTGCCAAGCCTAGTAGTTGTTTTTTTAACAATTGCATTTTTTTTTCAACTGAGATCTACAAATATTTGTATGGAAGACAGGCTGCACAGTTCATACATACCAACTTACCTCTCTAATGAATACTCACTTCATATAAATTGTGCATCTGCTTACAAAGGTAAATCTTGATGCACTTGGCATAGATTTTTTCAGTTTTGAAAACTCTTCATGCCCAGCACAAAGTTTTCAACACATAAGACGTGCAGTAAATAAGGTAAGTCTTGGATGGAGTCCTGGCCTTACTGAATGCACACCTTGTATTTGATAGCACATTACAGTGGAATCCAGCCGAGTATTTCCAGAACTTGGAATTACTTTTAAAAACACAGGCATTTCTATTAAAAATATATATTTTTTAAAAAGTTAAAGCTGAATGGTTAAGCACCCAAGAATCAGGAAATTTGCACATGCAGCATGAACTCAGTCCCTTTGCGTACATGCATTGCAACAGTCTAATTATACCCTCTCGTAACTATTTCTCAAATTAAATCATACACCGGATATTTTATTTTGTTTTTACCTGTGCGTGTGCACACCCACCCCCCATTGCTTAAAAGGTGCATTTTGTAAGTTGCACTAAGAGATAGTGATCCAAACTAAAGGTTGAAAGTACAAAATTAAATAATTTCCTAACTCTTAAGTAATTATCTGTGCAACCATAATGTCAGATTTTAAAAAAATGAAAAAGTGAGCCTTGTATACTTTACATAAATAGTTCTCAAACATTATGATGGTATTTATGCCTATAATAAATTATTAACGAGGTGATTACAATACACAGAGCTTTCAGGCAAAACAAATCTATTGTGAAATTAAGAACTCATAAGTGACCTTATTAACTCATCATACAAAACAGTTTTTTATGTGCTGTTTACATTCTCAAAGTGATTTACAATTTGAAATCAGAGTAGGAGGTGCAAATTTGCTAATGGTCAAAAGCGGTTACTAACCTTTGTATAACTGTTGTTCTTTGAGATGTGCTGCTCACATCCATTCCACGTTAGGTGTTTATGCTTCATGTGCACAGTTGCTTGAGATTTTTTCCTCAGTGGTATCCACTGGGCTAGCTATAGTGCTTTCTGGTGCCATGCGCTCATGCGCCGGTATAAGGGGCCCAGCCAGCTCTGCATCCTCTCAGTTCCTTCTTGCCAGCTAACTCTGACAGAGGGGCAGGAGGGTGGGTCACGGAATGGACATGAGCAAGACATCTTGAAGAACAGTTATGGAAAGGTTAGTAATAGTTTTTTCTTCTTTGAGTGCTTGCTCATGTCCATTCCACGTAAGGTGACTCCCAAGCAGAGGAGGTGGGCTCGGAGTTCATAGACATACCAATTGCAACACTGCTTTACCAAACTTGGCATCATCTCTAGCCTGCTGGGCGATGGCCTAATGGGAGAAGGTATGTACCGATGACCATGTCGCTGCTTTGCAGTTGTCTTGGATTGGGTCCTGGGCCAGAAACACTGCTGATGAAGCCTGAGCTCTCGTTGAATGGGCAGTCAAGATGGCAGAAAGCAGGACACCCACCTGCTCACAGCACATACAAAAACAGGACGTGATCCAGGATGAAATTCTCTGGACCAAAACCAGTAGGCCTTTCATCCTGGCTGCTACTGCCACAAAGAGCTGTGTGGATTTATGGAACAGCTTGATCCTCTGAAGGCAGAAAGCCAGGGCGTGTCTAATATCTAGCGTATGGAAACGCGCTCCTCCGAATTTTTGTGTGGTTTAGGGAAGATAACCTGATTACTATGAAACTGCAAGACCAGCTTTGGGAGGAATGCTGGATGGGGGCAGAGTTGAACCTTGTCCGTAAAGAACATCATATACAGGGGTTCTGATGTAAGGGCCCTCATTTCTAAGACCCTCCTGGCCGAGATAATCACTACAAGGAAGGCAATATTCCAGGAGAGAGACAACAGAAGGAATGATACCAGTGGCTCAAAGGGAGGGCCTGTGATTCTTGACAAGATGAGGAGTAGGTCCCACAAGGGAACGGGATGGCGACTCTGAGGGTGAAGTCCCTCTAGTTCATTGGAAAAGAGCGACCTACTGGCCATCAGAGGGCGGAAGGCTGAGATTGCTGCTAGATGCACCTTGATCGATGAAATGGCTAGGCCCTGTTGTTTCAGATGGAGCAGGTACTCCCACACTGACTGGAGAGATGATTGAGAAGCCTCTTTGGGATGACCACACTGAGAAACGCTTCCACTTGGCCATGTAAGTCGTTCTAGCAGATGGTTTCCTACTACAAGACCAGAACAAGTCCGCCAGAACAGGCCAGCTTCACTGGATTCAACCATGGTGCTTCCACGTAATCGGTGGAGCAGACAGCCATGATTTTACGAGATCAGGTCCGGGAGGAGAAAGAGTGGCAACGGGGCCGTTACTGAGAGATCCACTAGTGTGCTGAACCAGTGTTGATGCAGCTAAGCAAGA